CTTTAAGTTATGCAAAGTACCTTACACATATTAACAATATCCTTGTGGACAAGGTCTGAAGAAACCTTGAGATGAGAGCATAGTTAAATGGATATAGAATTGGCTGAACACCTGGACTCCAAAAATGATGATTAATAGATCTGTGCCAATCAGGAAGATTTTAGTGAAGTGCCCCAAGAATCAATTCTTGACCCTAACTCTATTCAACCTGGTTTTCAATGTCCTGAATGAATATGTTTGTGAAATTTGCAGACAATATGAAGCCACCTATCATACACTGGACAAAAAGAATCAGGACATCAAAAGATCCTGACAGGCAGGAATGAGTTGGTGAATCTAAGAAAAGTGAAATTTAAGAAGGCTAAATGTTGAAGATCTACTTTTGGGTTAAAAAATGGCACAAGTGTAGTATTAGGGATGTAACATGGCATGTGAAAAAGACTGGGCATTTTAACTGAAATGCTGAAAGCTAATGAGTCAACAATATGATGTGCAGGGCAAATTAGAAGGTTAGAAGTAGCTTTGTCAGCCTGCACTCATACTACTACTATTAGCTATACATTTAAGTAGCACTTTATGATTGGCAAAGTTTGTTATACGTTATCTCTTCTGAGTTTCACAATAACCTTCTGAGGCAGAGAGTGCCATTTCCAGCTAAGGCAACACTTAGCAGAGTGTTTGGCACATAGTAGGTGTTAATTATGTTTATTGACTGCTTGGTTTATTGATTTTACAGATGAGGTCTTCTTAACTTTGAGGTCAGCCCTCAGTGGCACTGTATCATGCTGCTGCCTCTCCACAGGTGAAGCAGTGTCCAGACTGAAGAAGGGGTTAGCCCCACTCTACTTTACCCTGGTCAGATCACATATAGAATATTGCTTTGGCTTTGGGTATCCCCTTTATGGAAGACAACTGACAACTGTGTGTAGAGAAGGGTGATAGGATGGCAAAGAGATCTGAAACTACACTATGCAGGGCAAAATAAAAGGAACTGAGGATATTAAGTCTAGATAAAAGAAAACTCAGAGGGGTTATGAGAAATGTCTTAAAGAATTTGAACTAGGAGTAACGGGTCTAAGTTTGTTTCATTGGATTCACCTCCTAACTACAAGCTTTTACCCATATACAACTGTCTTCTCAGAATAATGTTTTTAAATAATTGAAGGAAATGCTAAATTTCAGTTAGGGCTTAGTAAAAACAAAGATGTAATTTTTTCCCCCATCAAAATTCAAGGGCCCCCACAAATCTGTTCACAGACCCCCTTGGAGTTTGTTGACTACAGGTTAAGAACTCCTGTTACAGAGCCTCAACCCGCCCACCCCTCCAAAAAACCCCCCACACTTGAATGACTAGAAATGATCCCATCAAAAACTCTCTCTGCTGTAAAGACCTGGGAGATTTAGTGGATGGGGTTGCAAAAGCTTCGTAGTAAGAGTTACAAATATGCCAGAAAACATGGTGGTGAGATGTTTAGAACATTTTTTGTTTTATGCAATTTCGGGTGGCTGTTTGTAAAATATTTATCTCCTTATTTATAAGTACGATATTTAAACACACAAATGTTGATCAAACTAATTAACAGATACAAAGAACACAAAAATAGGTGGAAAGTACACCCTGGTCTCAGGAGAATCTAAAGTGGAGAAAGACAAGCATAGAAATAAATACGATACAAGGGATAGTGAGATACGTGTAAAGGAAAGATCCAAGCAAAGCACCAGGAGTAATTTGAGTGGGAGAGATCTTTCAGCTGGGAGGATGGGAAGGGGCAGGGAAAGTTTCAGAAAAGTGGCACCCGAGTATGGCTTTGAAGGAAGGGAAGAACTTGGGAAAAGAGAGGTTGCGCTATCCTTTGAAGAGAAATACATGGTTAAAAATGATTTTTTGAAAGATTTAAAAATTCCCTGCTTCTATAGGAAAAAACCTTTTTATTCATTTATTTATTTATTGTTTGGTTTGTTTGTTTTGTTCTTATTAGGCCCCCTTCTAAAATAATCTTGCTAGGTCAATCAATAGACATGCTTTAACTCAAGATACGCAAACTTAGAGAATCGACCCGAAAGGTTCACATGGACTGTTTGTGCCCGACCTGTGGTAGAACATTCCAAGCTCATATCAGTCTGATCAGCCATAGTCAGACGCACTGTAACTTGACTCTAACATAGTGATGTCATTTTGGTCTTCTACGAAAATGAAGGACAACCATTACTGTGATAGAACCAGTATTTTCCTAATGCTACTGCCTTCAGCTCCAGCTTTCCTGACTGTGGCCTCAGCCATCCCACTTCCTTCGTGCTGCCCTCCGCACAACCTGATTGGCTTCAGCTTCTCTGATGCAGCTTCCTATCAAGAGGCACAAAGTCCCAGGGGACTGCAATCTGCACCTCTCAGACCTGATGGGTGCCTGAGGCCATAGCAGTTGCTATACCCCATGACATACTGACTAGACGCATTCTAAGTGCCCCAGTATCCTTTTTGTTTATTCTTGCTGTGTTAGGGCAAAGCTGACCTCTCCTTCCTTTGTTAAATGTTCCTAATTTCATCCTAACGTTGAACCTGAAGGGGGTGCTGGCATAGAAGTCCTACAGTTATATTACTGCCATAGTAGTGATGTTCTGAAAGGATAAAAAGTAACCTTATAATGCCTTAAAGTGAGAGGTATTCATTTCTAAAAATGAAAAAGTTAAAATTAGAGAACAAGTTTCTGTGGGAATTGGAAATTAAGGTAAATGTATTGGTCTTTTAAGTGGATGAAATAATGTGTGACATAAGGAAGTAGAAGGGTAAGAGGAAAAGCAAAAAAAGAATTCGCTTTGGGAAAAGAAAAGAAAGACATGCTAGCAAAGGAGAAATAGAAAAATAATTACAAGGGAAAAGCAGAAGGGGGGATATTCATGGAATCAGCACTTTAGTTGGAAGGTTTTTGTTGATAATGCAAGTGTTCTTTCAACATAATTTTGGAAGTAATATCACTTCTAAGAATGCAAATTTTCGGATTCGTGGGTAAATCAAAGGAACATATAAAATAGATTGTTTTATTTACTTTCAGGGTAAACAGTGAGAAGGGACTGGGAGGGAGATAGGTCTTCAGTTGACCACTGAAGTCTTCCAGGAGAGTCCTTGGTCCTTCTGAAGCAGTCTGGAAACATTAGGGCCAGGTCCTACTACATCTACCTCACGTTAGGTAGTTAGCAAGCCCTCTCCTCTCCAACTCTCCTTAGTTGGCACTGCCCGGCCTGAGGGCATGTGCAGTGCAAAGTGTGCCTGCTTTGTGTTCAGGATCAAGGCTGCAGTGAAGTTGCGCAATGCAACAAAGGCAAGCACTGCCAGAAACACCTTGGATTCATTACGTGTTGGATTTCTAACTAATTTTTGGTTGTTTCATGTTCAGAAACCTTTTACTGTTGCCAAATTTTTCATGACTCCACATGGGGTCATGACCCACAGTTTAAGAAGGGCTGTGAACCAGTACCCTTTCATTTGAGTTCTATGAGAACAAATTAGTCCACCAACCTATGCTTACCAGGGCGCAGTGAGGTGGTACGTACTAGGAAGTTGGAGGCTAGCCCCCTCAGTAGACACCAAATTATTAATAATAAGCCCTTGAAGACAAATACTAGGAAACTGAAGGCTAGCCACCTCAGTAGACACCAAATTATTAATAATAAGCCCTTAAAGGCAAATGCGACAGCAATAATGATGTTACATTACCAAACTATATTTAATTGTACTAATTTTGATGTGATTTTTCAAATAGAAACCTATCAACACATAACCCTTAACAAATTAGCAGAAATTTATTTATATCATCTTTATTGTAAACAGAGGTCATTAACATTTAAATCAACTAAAATTAGCAATATGGAACAGATTTATATAATTATTTTTTGTATGGCAGAATTGGTAAACACCAATATCTTTGAAACAGATTACAAATTATCAGCATTTCAAAGGTACAATGGTCTCTTTAGTGTCATGTTTAGCACCACTGAACTCTCACCTCCTAAAAATGAATTTAATTACCAATGCGCAACAATAATTACTACACAAACTGTAATTAAGTAATACAAATATATATATTTTAAACTGTGTAGACCAGCAAATTATATACAGGAAGTTCATGCTTTCCATAATATCATAGATTTAGAGCAAAAGGGTTCTTAAATGCCATCTAGTCCAAATCTCTCATTTTATTAATGAGGCTAAGAGAGGTGTGACTTGTCCAATGTTATCGAGCTATTATATGGTAGAATTGGGATTTAAACTCAGATTCTTTGAGTCCAAATCCAGTGCTCTTTCCAATACAACACAGTCTTTCTATGAATTGACTACTTTTTCTAACAATCACTGAAGGCCAATCCTGGGTTTCAGAACTTTACCCATTCTTGGAAAGGAAGATTTAGACTCAATATGAGGGAAATGTCCCAGTAAGGAAAGCTGTCCCCAGTAGAATGGGCTGTCTCTGGAGGTAGGTGATTCCCCTTCACTGGAGCTTTTCAAGCAAGGCAAGATGACCACTGAGGAAGGGCACTATAGAGGGGATTCCTTTTTGGTTTCCCTTATACCGCTAAATCTATGATGGCATGAACTTGGTTTCAGGATTATAGGCAAGCACCATCTGGTGGCAAGAGAGAGTAACGTCGAATTTCTATTTAATCAAAGCTACATGGATGTGCAGTGATCCTCCCTTCCTTCCCTTTTTTGCTATTTGGTTTTCCTATGTTGTTTACAGGAACGCACTGCAGCAAAAAGTGGGGGCTGCTTACTTGTAAAGTATTTTAAAATGCTATCCTTTGCAGTTATTTGGTAAACTGCACCAAATGATCCTATGTAGTCAAAAGCACTTGGGATGGGGGAGGGGGGGCAAGCATATATATACACACACATACATGTATAGACACATATATAAATAAACCAGAAACAAATGACAAGATTTCAAAAAGAATTAAAAACAGATTGTGTGATTATTTAATAAACAATATTGTGTAATAAACTTAAACAGTTTGTATAAAATATTTATTTTAATAAATCTGAATAAAGCATATAACTATGTAAAAAGAATAGCAGGGGGAACTTGAATTTAACGAGATTTCCAAGTGGAGTATATATGGAAGGGCAAAGTGCTAGCAAAATTGCTGCAATAATTAATAGAGGCCACAATTCTATTATAAATATTTAAAGTGCAACTTTCAGGATTAGGAAAGGATTCAATGGTTATTTCAATTAAATTTAATGAACCCACGGTAGTGTTCAGGTTTTGATGAATATTTTGCTTTTAAACTATTTACATAGACAACAGTAACACTAACAAATACTGGTGGGTTTTTTTTTGACTTCTTTGTCCACACAATATAAGCAATCATTAAAAAATGCTTGCTAGATTAAAACACTATGTAAATGTAAGTTTAAACCTATTTCCTGGATAAAAAAGAAATAGGTGGAGCCTGTGGTTCATCACTGATGACTAACAGTAGGCCAATAACTCACTTTAAGGGTCCCTTAAAGGGGCTTGTTTGGCCTATATATAAATAATATTTAACGAAATAATAATAGTACAAATAAGAAATGTGCTAAACACAATTGAACTATTGGTAGAATGGGGAGTAGAGGAGGATTTTAAGAGTGGAGACTGTAAGCCTACTTTACTAATTTAAATATTGTTTGTGTTATTCTCTACTATGGAAAACAACTGTATAGGGCTTATTTTAGTGCAATGCTTTGGAACCAGCTTATTTCTGATTTTTAAATTTGGCAATGACTAGTCAAATTTTCTTGACTGACTTGAAATTTATTTACTATCTCTTCTGTTCTACTTAGGTGAATAAATTTTGTTTTCTTAAAAAAAACACAGACACACACACAAAACCTTATAGGTTAGTTTGAATTGGTCTTTTGAAGACCAAATACCTTCTTTTTCATCTTCTTAGAGCTTCAGATTAGATATTAAAACATTTCCTTATATTATTCATGCAGTACTACCAGAATGAAACACTGAATTAGTATTACGTGATAGTATAGTAATGCTTAACAGTACTTTAAGTAAAAATCTTATGTCACAAAATATTTTCTTCAGGACTCCTAACTAGGTTTCTATTTTCTTATTACACATCACATTTGTTTAAAATTCCTTTGATCTCACTGACATGTAAGAGAGACTCTGGCCCATGATTAATTCAGTATGAAATCTCAAGTCATTATTCTTAGAAGCCCAAACCACATAGAGTCTATAAATAAAATTTTAATTTTTCCAGATTTTAAAAATATATGTATATACACATTGTATATCTTTTTAATAATTCAGTGAGTGGTCAGTCCTCATAATTATCAAAAGCTTACTTATACTGAGTCTAACAGCTAAACCAGCCCTTTGTTCTGTGGACAAGAAATTATGTTTAAAAAACATTTTTCTTGAAATGTCTCATTTTGATTTTATTTATTTCTCATAATATTTAAAAACAGGTTTGTCTGATACCCAGCACAGTATAATTGAATGAAAAATTTTAAGGTTCTGGCTATTTTCATTCAGAATATTTTAAATTTAGAGGTTATTTAACAAATCTATGAATGCTTGGCAGTTAAGATAACTACAATGCATTATCATAAACTCTGTAAAAACGATGGCTTGCATGCATGCAGTTAAAAAAAAAGGAAAGACAAGTATAAACACACTGATGACTTTCTCTCTCTCTCTCCAGCTCATCTAATGTGTGTTTCCACAAGGGTTGTCTGAGATTTGGCAGCCCATATTTTGGCCTGTCACCTGTACTTTGAACAGAGTTCCATCTGCACACATACACAGCTTGTAGCGTACCCAGTCACCATTATTTAACTGATCTCCAAAGGAAGAACTTGGTAGGCGAGAGGTGCTGACCATCACAGATCCATTTAGGATGATGCTGTGTTCCTATTGGGAGAATAATAATATGGTTCATTTACCACCAACAGTAGTATTGGGAACAATAGCTAATAAATGCAGTTTATTGCAAAAGTAATAAGAAAAAGGGATTACAATAGACAAATGAGTTCAAATTCAACTAGAAGTCTTCTGTCTTAACTTTAGAGTTTGATATATGACAGTCAACCTGCCAAACATTTTGTTTTTCAACCACTAAATTAGTGCTGCACTAGAATTCTCATGGCTATGATAGATTTATAATTAAAAAATGAAACTCAGTTCATTGTCATTTATAAAGTCTAATGCATACCAAGTCATAATATAGGGCTAAGGAATGGACCTATGACTTCACTGGTACAGAGGAACTGCCTGGATGAGGAAAATTCCTTTCTACCAGTACAGGTCAGCCCTTTCTCTGTTAGTCGAGTTGCCTAGGACTCTGAGAGGGTAAATGACTTGTCTAGGGTCACAAGACCAGTACATGTCAGAGGCCACTTTGGGACTCAGGCTTGGTGGTTCTGAGTCAAGAACATAATGCTGCCTCTCAGTCATACTACTATTACGTAGTACCAATTATGCTACTGACTAAAAATCAGCACAATGATTTTGATAAACAATATGAGGAAACATGTTTTTCTTAGTGGTTAGGAAAATGATTTAATTCCTATAGGTTTGTTATAATTATACATAGGATTCAAACCAGTTTTGTATATCTAAATATCAACATTCCAAACAAAATTTGGTATAGACCAGACCTTTTTACAAGCTACTGCCCCTGAACCTTCTTATGTAGGTATTCTAGATGACTTTTTTTGTGGGACCCTGTTGTAATGTTATTATGTGAACTATATTTAAGTTAAATAAAACTATTTTGGATATAACCTGTTAGTTACAAAAAGTAGCATAAAGTTAATTTTTCACTATAGGATTTCAGTAAGATTGTATTACAATACTTTTAAAGTATATAATAGTGTGATGGTTCATCCTGTTTAACCAAATTAATATGTAATTTTGGCCACAACTAATATTTTGGACCTAAAAGAAGTACTCATTTGAGCTTTTGACCCTTTCTTCGTATTGCTCTTGTCATTAAAGAATCTTCTTCAGAAAAGAATTTTCTCCTGTCAGTAAGATGAATCTGATAACATAAGTCTAAATAGTTATTTAATAAACTCCTACTTTACAGATCTTAATTGTATATAAACAAAAAAGGAATATGCATGCTCAAAAATACTGGCAAGAAAACACTTAAGAACCATAGAAATCACGTATTTCCTCCTGCTGTTAGCAGATACACAAATTTGTAAGACTGTATATACATCGATTGGCCTGACCATGTGATTTTATTGATTTAGAGAACTCGGGGTTATGAAACTCCCTTTACCAAATGCAGACTGGTAACTGTTTTGCAATTTATGGCCTAGAGAGTTGCTTGGGTCATTGGGAGATTCAGTGATTTTCCAGTGTGAAGTAATCAGTCTGCCAGAAGTAGGCCTTAACCCAGATTTTCCTTGTTCTGGGGCTCACTCTCTAGCTACTATATTATAGTGCCTCTTAAAATAATATACTGAAGGGAAGCATTAATAAAAGGCTATTTATTAAATTGTTTTAAAATTTTATGTTTTTGGTGCTACACGATCTGATTTCTTTAGCTGTATCTTAGAACAAATGAAGTAACAGTGACTTTCAAACTCTGTACTGATTCTGCCACCTAGTGGTCAGTTTAATCTCTTAGAACTTTATATTATAAAAACAGTATATTATGAATTTTTAATTATTCACTGCTCCCATAAGTTGAATTATAAGTCTTTTAAATTTAATTTGTTTTTATTAAACAACAGACACAAAGTGCTTTCATAGCTATGGTATCATTTGTCCCTTTAAGGGTTAATATACTTCAAAGATTAAAATGGCAAAATTATTTCCATTTTAAAAAATGGAGAGACTGGGGCTCAGAGATGGTTAAGGAGTCATGAATAGAACACAGGTCTTTTTTCTCACTGTATTGATCTTTCTAGAAGATAGTATCTGTGATCCTGATGTGGATGTTCCTCCAGCTATACAGACTGCAACTCATCCACATTTGTGCAAATCCCATCCATTTTCTCCCATAAGTTTGTCACAGGGGATCCGCCCAATATGCCAAGGCCTTCTTTGACTTTTCCTGACATAACAAGGATACAAGTAGAACACATGGATTATTCCTTATTCACACCACAGTTCTACCCCATCTTTTTTGACCATAAGATTTCTTTGGATAGTCTTCATAATTCCTTATTAGTTTTGCATTGCAGCCTGTTCACAAACACTATAAGCTTCTTCACTGCCCTAGGAGTGGGACAATAAGCATAGAGGGATTTTGTATTCTATGTCTTTCAGTCAACTGTGTATTGGTGAAGACATAGTCCACAGTGGAGTACCACTTGCAAAGGCCTGGCTATTTCCTTCACAAATGATGCTCTTGATGTCTATGTAGATTACTCTCATAAATGTTTTACACAGAGGGGAGAGTAGGCATGTAAGTTTGGATATGTTGACATTTTTTTTCAATTGCTTTTTTCTCCTTATTAGTACAGTTCAAGATTCTTTCCATGCCTTTGGTATTTTATCTTCTTTATGGACACCTTGTGAATTGATGCCTCAATGCCCTTACAATTTTGTCGCCTACAGAATGGATCTGCTCTATGTATATGTGGTCAAAGCTGTTTTTCTTGACTTTATCTTCTTAAGTGTCATTTCTGCATTCTCCATAAGCACATCTGAGACTGTGAAGTTAGAGTCCAGGTGTGGCTGCTCCCTATCCTTAATGGTGAAAAAAAAATTATTCAAAAAGTCTTTGCTGAACTACTTCATTTTCTTCTGTGTGTTTTCCTTCTATTTTCCTTAAATGTTAGAGAGATGAATTTTAAGTTGGTCCTCTTGCCAAGATTTCTTTTTAAAAAAATATTTTCCCCAATAACATGTAAAGACAATTTTTAAGATTCATTAAAAAAAACTTTTTTTGAGTTCCAAGTTCTCCCTCTCTCCCTTCTGCCTTCCCTGAGACAATAAGCAATTTCATATAGTATATATGTGCAATCATGCAAAACATATTTCCACATTAATCATGCTGTGAAAGAAGCCACAGACCAAAAAAAAAATGAAAATAAAAAAAAATAGTATGCTTCAATATGTATTCAGACTCCATCAGTTCTTTCTCTGGAGGTGGATAGCCTTTTTCATCATGAGTCTTTGGAATTTTCCTGGATCATTGTATTGCTGAGAATAGCTAAGTCATTCACAGTTGATCATCTTAAAATATTGCTGCTACTGTGATAATGGTCTGGTTCTGCTCATTTCACTTTGCATCAGTTCATCTAAATCCAGGTGTCTCTGAAATCATCCTGCTTGTCATTTCTTATAGCACAACAGTATTCCATTACAATCATATACCACAACTTATTCAGTCTTTCCTCAACTGATGGATATCCCCTCAATTTTCAGCTCTGAGCCACCACAAAAAAGCTGCTACAAATATTTTTTGTAAAAATAGTTTTTTTCCCTTTTAAAAAAATCTTTTTTGAATACAGACCTAGTAGTGGTATTGCTGGATCAAAGGGTATGTATGCACAGTTTTATAGCCCTTTGGGCATAGTTCCAAATTATTCTCCAGAATGGTAAGATCAGTTTACAACTCCACCAACAGTGCATTAGTGTCCCTATTTTCTCATATCTTCTTCAACATTTATCATTTTCCTTTTCTGCCCTATTAGCCAATCTGATAGATGTGAGGCAGTACTTCAGAGTTGTTTTAATTTGCATTTAGGGCATTTTTTTCATATGACTATATGTTTTTGATTTCATTTGAAAACTGCCTGTTCATATCCTTCGACCACTTATCCAATTGGAAAATGACTTATATTCTTATAAATTTGATTCAGTTCTCCACATATTTGAGAAACGAGACCTTTATCAGAAACATTGGCTGTAAAAATTGTTCCCTAGATTTCTGCTTTCCTTCTAATCTTGGTTGCAATGGTTTTGTGCAAAACTTCTAAAATTTAATATAATCAAAATTATTCATTTTACATCTAGTAATGCTTTCCATCTCATTTGGTCACATATTCTTCGCTTCTCCATAAATATGACAGGTAAACTATTCCTTGCTCTCCTAATTCGTATATGGAATCACTCTTCACGTCTGAATTATATCTTATCTTCTTACCAAGATTTCTTTAAACTTGTTTTACCTTCTACTGCTTATCTTTGCTCTAAAGAAAAAACATTTATTAAACACTTATTACATGACAAGTACTGTGTTATGACGCAATACTGCTTTTAATTTCTAATCATCCTCCTCCGAAAGATTTTACAAATGAGTTGACATTCTAAAGTGGCATTGCTCTTGGATGTGTTTTTTTTCTTGATAGGTTAAGACAAGTACTTGTCAAGATGCTTTGGGGAATCTTTTTGCATCCTTGTTATGGTAATTGTTCTACATTGGTTAAAACTTCCATATGAAATTATTATAGTCAATATCAGTGTCCTTTTTTCTATTCCTAGCCTATTTTCATCAATAACTTGGTTATACAGGTCAGTTGTATTCATATTTTTCTCATTTTTAATCTTCTAGTCATGTATTAACTTTTATCTTCGCTGTTAATAGCTTGGTGATCTGACTACACACAGATGACTGATACAGGAATGACACCAAGAGGAGTGACAAATTGTTGTGTATTAAAATAGAATCAATTTCACTTTTGTGCTGTTGTTAAGTGCTCATCACATATAGCACATTTGGATTCTTTTCTCAAAGAAAATATTCATGATTTACACAAGTGTGAGGCTTCTGTGTAGTGTACAGGTCTTTGACCTCTCTTACTGCATTTTTTCTGATTCATATTTCCAACAAATTCTCACCATCACAGTGATGGAATACTATTGTGTTATAAGAAATGACAAGCAGGATGCTTTCAGAAAAATCTGGACTTAGATGAATTGATAGAAAGCGAAGTAAGCAGAACCACGAG